CTGCTAATAAAAAAACATAGTTGTCTTAGAAATAGCAAATAGACATTAATGAACTGGAAAAAAAATGAAAAACATACTTACGTGACCTCTTGAAAGATGTGCAAAAATGACTGAACACTTAAAATACAGTTAGCTAGTTTAATAATTGTGCAGGAATGGGTTTCAACATTTTTCAGTTTTAATCTTTAGGACTAGGATTCAAGAAGTGCAGAAACGTGCAGTGCTTTCTATATTGAATATAGTGCATTTCTTCAATTTAATTGGTTTCTGCAGCGATTTTGATGGGAGAAAGAAGAAAGAGAGTTTACAAAAAAAATGTGGACATTAGGCTTTTTCTCTTAAAAAAGTAATAACGATTTAAAAGGATACCAGGGTCCAAGATTTACATCAACCTCCCATACTGTACAACCTAAACAGTAATTCCTAAAGAAACACTTTTTTAAAGACACAACATTTGTTTCTTCCTGGCAATGAGTTCCTCTGGTGGCTATGCAATAAAAATAAAACATTACTTACTTAATAATATGAGATACCGACTCGCTGCATGTTTATCACTGCAAACAGTAACCAGTCTCTCCAAGACCGAGAAGAAACAGATGAGCCGAAAATTTCCATTACACAGAAATGTATCAACACTAGTTTAAAATAACTGAGAGAGCTCTAATGCCATGCCTGTGGCATATGCACACAGTAGCAATATGAATTTCAATAAAGAATTATTACTTTAGGATCTTTAACAATCTCACATATTATACAGTAATGTTTTTTTTTTTGCCAAATCTGCAGATAACAGACATTATTTATATAATCCACTTGCAGGCTTGCAGTGTGATTATTTCCCCATTAACATGAGCACTGGACAATCAAATTACAGAGACAAAGGAGGTTATTATAATACAAAGGAATAAAATGCTGGTGCTGGAAAAAATATTCTATCTGCCTGTTTGTGTTAACCCTTCCCTGCTTTTCTTACTGTTGTCATTGAAACTCCAGTAAATCAAGGTACTGTGTTTAAAACAGCAATATTATCATTTTTATTTTATAAGAGTCATAAAATTAAGTCACACAGAGAGAAAAAGAAAAGATTATAAAAGAGAGAGGGCCTCTTAACCCATCATGCTGATTTGGACACAGACAGAGAAAAGGAGAGGGAGACAAAGCTCCAGAAGGTACTGCATGATAGGCTGTGAATTTTCACAAAACACCTTTTTTCCCCCAAGTTGAAGAATGAATACAAAACAGGGGCTTGTTCTGTTAAGTCACAGGAATTAGCAGGCCGGCTTGCCAGCCATCTTGAAGTTGTTGAAAGGTTGGAAAGTGTGGAGCCGTAACACAAAACGAAGCCCGCCAGCTGGGACTTAGCTTTTTGTCAGGAACGACAAAAACGGAGCTCCTCAAGGTTCCGCCCCCTGCAAAATTGGCCCCCAATGAAAAGCACTTATCTGTCTGCAGGGTGTGCAACTGCTGAATTAGCACTACAGAAAAGTGATGAGTTTCAAAGCTGACTGTATTAACCGTGTTCTCCATTGAGCACTGCAGTTTGTTGGATTAAAACCGTTTCACCAAGAAATTAAGTCACATTTGATACTGTATTTTTATAAAACCAATACTGAAAAGATTACAATTACAATATTGAAATAATCATCATTATAAAAAATACATTGTTTACATTGAAGGTTTATCCACATTCATATCAGAAACCTGTAATCTGTCACTTGTGAAAATTTTGCAGGTTATTTGTGAGAATTACATTATTCCAGAATCAATTGTATGTTTAATATTATTACACAGAGTAGCATTGCTATTATACCTTTTACCACAGGGTGGCAGTACCTATGGAGTTAACTGGATCTCACTGTGCTCAGTACTGCACTGAAAGTCCTGAAAAGTGTGTTAAATTCTATTTACAGTAGCTTTTCATTAAAAAGGGAAGTATTATTAAGTTCCCAATTTACTTGTGAAGACATTCAGGGAAAATATATTAATATAGGCCTGCATGATCCTACAAGCAGACCTAAACATAAACATATATTTTGAGGACCTGCACATGTTGTCTGACACTTTCATCAGATGTTCACATCCTATTGTCATCAGAGCAGTATTGCTATCTATTTATAGAAAGATGTGAGATTATACCTTATGATACCGATGTATCCTTTGACCAAAGCATTTCTCCTCATTTATTATAGTGTCTCATTTTACATACAGAAATCTTATATAATGCAGCTCCCAAAGGAGTACATTGAGGTATTACTAAACATTATAGAGCAGTACTAAACATTATAGAGATGCTGACATCACCACATGCCATTTGGGAAGTGCAGGAGATTTGTCATATTCTGTACTTATAACATGAAGTAATACTTTAAGGCTTAAATGACAGACAAATTCCTTATGGTTGATGTTCCCAGTGTATTCACCCAAATGATCACGATATGCAGAATACTGAAAGGCAAAATTTTTCAAAAACAAGCTAGTACATGCTAAATAAATTAAGCGACCTGCATTGATACTTAAAAAATGCAAAATACATAATCAAGACTGAAGATAACAGTTGTTTAAAATTATTTAAGTGTTGTTACAAATCGGGTGAAAAGTGAAGAATATCAGCTGGATGGGGGTTAGAATGGTTCAGAGGGGAATTTACTGAGAGATAATATCTGGGAGGGCAAGCACATGCTATCACAGTAGCATTTTTTATCTTGGAAAAGTCACACAAAGTCTTCCTGTGAACTTCCAATCTACCCCAATTAATCACCACACAACACACAACACCATGGGTCTTGCTCAACAATGCCAGTAAGGGAAATTAGCACTCTCAGGATCTGCAATACTGCAATTGTGTAGGACTTCAGTATATTTTTTGTTTTTTTCTGTATGTTGCCATTTATTTCCTCATAATTTCTTCCTGATTTGTAATATCCAAATTACTGCTAAGTAATTACTGCTAAGCCACTGCCTCTGTATAGTGTATAAACACACTTGGTAAATGTTATCGAAGTGTTCAAAACAGGAACAGTGGGCTCAGCTCAGCCGGGCTCAGCCTGTTAAAGTAAATGTTATACATGTACTTTAGTGACAATAATTCACACTAGCAGACTTACTCTTCTTTTGTCCACAACAATGTGACACCACTAACGGGTAACATAATCTTTGTACATCTTAATTTTTAAGTCAAATTCTGTTCAATTACTGCTAATAAAGCCACAAACACTGGATCCAATTTAAAAATACATTAAGGGGGGTATATTGTTTGCCTTTTATAAATGAATCATGTTGGTGTCAAGTGCTTTGAGAAATCTAGCCCAAAAAGTTTTTGAATAAGTGCATGTCTGTTTATACACTGACAGGAAAATAAAACAGAACTTAATGTTAAGATACACAGAATTCTTATTTGGCAGCAGTTCTAAACTTCAGTCAGACAGTTCGTCTAAAGCAATTAACAAACAAAAGCTAAAACACAAATTTTGTACTGTCATTAAACTCATTATCAAAACATTGGAACATAGCACTACTAAAACCATTGGAACAGGTTTGTTCCAAGGTGTCTGATTTTTATCAAAGGTTCAATTTTCTTATCTTTGTGTCACAGAGCTATTAATGCTAATTTTTTAAAAAATAAGCAGACATACAAACATGCACAAACTCATGCACATGTATGTTCTATAATCATATACTGTACTTTAAAAATTGTAGTAACAGGAAAATAACTTGCAATTGCATTTTCCTTTAACTCAGACATTGAGGTTTAGGGCTTGTGCCAAAGAAAATTGCTGGCTAATCCAAACAGATATTATTTTTTAATAAAAGCAATGAATCCACATTCTCTTGTGCATCTCAAAGTATTATGTGAAACACATTTTGTAAATCCATCTGCAGGCCTCTTTTTCTAAGTCCAGTACTCACATACATGGCAGAATTAAAGATGGGGCGTGGAGTGGGGGAGGGTATCAAGCATCAAATTAAATTCATTAGATTGTTATGTGCTTTTATTTTGGTCATCTGATAATCTTGCTTCGATCATTTCTCTCATTCTCATTACTTGGGATTATTTCAATTTGTAATAATACAGTATATAACTAATAAATGACCAGAACACCAAAAGAATTAAACCCCTGAAATATCCTTTGATTGTTTCCTGACAAATTAAGACCCCCTAAGGTAACGAGTATTTAATCAATAATCGTGTAAGATATTGTTCCTTAAATTACAAAGGCCTTGTGTAGGATTTGTACTGTAAGTGTTGTTTTTAAAAAAGCAGCTACTCGTCTCTTTTTCGTCAAAAATAAATCTGAGACTATGAACTTTTTTCAAAGATCAGGCTGTACTACAGCTTTGTGCACCTCAAATAACACCACTCAGGAGGAGGGTAAGAGTGGTGTTTGTGTTTGAGCCCTAAATATCAGTACTGCATCTGAACAAGCACGAATATTCAAGGCTCAGTGTTTAATATTGTAGATCGGCTTTATTGAAGTAATTTGGAGATCACATGATAAGGCATGTTTTGCAGATGTGTCCCCTGACTGTGACCAGTCCACTTACTTTCTTCAGAAATGAATATCCTGACAACCAGAACCAGACCTGCCACGCCCCTTACACACCCCGCAGCTTTTCAAACTAAATACCAATTACGAACTAATGTATGGTGTGGAACGTGCCTGCATACAGTATCTGTGTATGCTAACCGCACTTCTACTTCTTGCTGAAAACAGAACTTGTTTGAAAAGTCGTTTATATTTTCTCACATCAAGCAGCCCGTTTATTGTCCACTTTGTCTAAATGACCGTTATACATCAAGACATAAAAGAGCTCCTATGCGGTTATCGTGTATTTTTAGATTATTTAGAAGTACTCAGGATGAAATGAAACCTAGGAGCACTGCAGCCTCATAATAATGACAACAGACCAAGATCACGAACTGCTTGCGGCATTCAACTTAAATATTCACTGCTACAGTAACAGCGCGGTGGGGAATAATAACGAGCAAGACCGAGCCTTACCTTCAATTCGTCCAGATTCTGCAGTATTTCCTTTCCAACCGCAGTTTTAATTTCAATGCCCGAGTCCCCTTCTTCGTGTCCCCCGGACCCACTTTCCGTACAAATGCTGCTTTGCTCGCTGTCGGGGCTCTTCCCTTCCTGGGATGCTTCCCCTTTACTCCCACTCTTGGAGCTCCTGGAACTTCTTCTGCCGACGCTCAGGGCATCAAAATCAATGGTTTTGCTTTCGAAAGCTCCTTCCACACTGCAGAACATGCCACCGTATTTTTGCCTGGGAACCTGGTCCGTTGTCCCCGGCCTTGCCAGATAAACAGGCAGGTCGTCTTCCTTATCCCAGGTCCGCTTGCGTTCAGCCATGATTCCGAAACCAAAATGTGCTGGAAGGAGGCGAAAGAAGTCTAAAAAATGTTCAGAGCTAAGTGTTCTGCCGTAGCACACAGAGCGGCCGCAGGAGAAGAAATTTTAAACCAGAGGTGGCACTAGCCTACTGCTTTGAGTCCCATGACAGGGAAGTGATAGCATCAATGCATTGCACACACACACACACTATTTTTTCCCCCAGAGACAACTACTGCCACAAGATTTAATTCTTTTTTCACACACATTATATAAAATAGAAATGCCACAGTATAAAAATGCATGTTACCAACGTGGTCTAAGTAAAAAAAAATCCAAACTCAATCCTAATTTTACAAACCATCCCCTTAAATGTATTAATGAAACAGCCGATGCAAAATCTTGGTTTTCTTTAACAAACGCCGTAACGACAAAGACGGCAATACTAATGACACTTGTTTGACAGAACAAAATTCTGCAAAGTTTGGTTATTGTAAAACGAATCATGTCACACGAACCGTGACAATTTTTCTTAAGTCAACTATTACTCTTTCACACACAGCACGTACTGACAATAATTTCTTTGTCGAAAATGTCAGGTTGATTTAACGATAATCACGTCAGCAGGATCAAAAAAAGGCCAGCAATTTAGATGTAACGGAACAGTTGGGAGTAACTGGATGAGGGGACTATTAGCATTAATAATTCATTCATTTATAAATTAATTATATTTAAGGTCTTTGGTGCTTAGTTACCATATGGGATATGGAATATAAAAAAATGTAATTCATTTAATGCGTACTTACAATTAGTATTTTATATAAAGCTAAGTGGCCAAACAAATTTGATCCCCCCCACCACCACCACCACCAAAACGGATTACCCATTGAGAGTTGAGAGCACTGACTGTGTGATATATTAAGGGTGACGTCAAAAATATACTGCAAATCACCGGACTGTAGTTGTGTTACATCTCTGGGTTGCCTTGGCAAAAAACATATTCAGTCATCCTAGCTGGACTGTTTCAGATTAAAATTCTATAAGGGAAACGTCAGCACCTTTCATCAGTGAGTCAGTATGCCGTCTCGCCTACTGTCTAAAAAATATTTTTTAGTGATTCACCAATGCTAATTCTTTTCGTCTGCTCGCACATCTACGCTACCGTAGTGTGGCTTGAAAGCAATATTTCCAGAATTGGTGGTTCAATCTTACATCCGCTATTGAATCAAGATTAGTACAGTGAGAAATGTCAACTCCATACGGCTACGTGCAATTATGCCAACAACTGAGGTTTCAGGTCAAGTAAGCGGTACCTTTTCGGAGCATTTCAATCATTCCTCGCCTACTGCCCCACCCGACGCTGTCGCAGTAGCTGTCCTTTCAGCACCACGGGTGGCTCCTGATCTCTCACACCTGGTCTGGAACATTGTAATTAAAATATTGCCCGGAATATTGTGCAGGCGTTCAGCGCAAACTTTAGTGTTTCTTCCAGTTACATTGTTTCATGGCATTGAATAAGTTACCTTTAAGCGTGAACACTTTAAGCCCTTAGACAATATAGGCTTTATTTGTACAGTTATTCAGAAGGGTGGCATGTCTACTCTGTCCATCTTTTGTCTTTATCTCAAGCTAACTTTTTTCAAGCTACTCTATTAGCGTCTTAATTTTCAATGTTTCTAGTTATTACTTACCATTATCGATGTCTAATTTTATTATTTTTAATCATTGTGTGAATTTCAATCCTTTAAGTTCTGTATGATTTATGGGCCTAATTGAAGCTGTTGAAATGAATAATTATTTGTGTTTGCTTTAACTAAGGTATTTCTAATACATGGGTAGTTGTTTGAGATAGTAATAACTGTGAAAAAATAAAACTCTTTAACACATTTTTAAAGAACAACATTTCTTTTTCTCACCTGGATCTTTTTTTGTTTTATTGTTGTGACATTAATTTCCCTTCGGGATCAATAAAGTCCCTATCTGTGAATTATTTTTTAATGACAAATAATACAAATTTGCACTTGGATCTTACCATGTTCAAGCCTGTATGGAAACTGAAACCTGTTGCATGAATCCCTGGTTTGGGGTGCAATCTGGTTGAATAGGACAAACTATCACATGCTGTTAGAATTCAACAGGTCTCAGGGTCTCCAACAGTGCTCAGGAACAAATGCACCTGGCAGAAGCTCAGTCAAATCCTGCTCAATGAACACTTTAAACAAGATAAACAAATGGGGGCAGATGAACTAATTCATCATCACATGTCATAAGTATGGCCATTATGCATAATTGTGTTTTATTCAAGTGGTGGGTAAGGTCCCTTTTCAGGCCATAAAGGCCTATAGGGGAATGGAAGGCAAGAGCCACCATTTGTCTTGACCACCCAACACTGAAGGTGATGTGGTCAGCCTATTACCCTGAGTACTCTTTTAGAAAGCAGGCTGAGTGGACCTGGGAGCTATCTAGAAGGAATTAAAGCAAGCTATATCCCTACCTGGGATTGAATCTGGGCCCTTCCAGTCAGGAGCTGGGCACTCTTGCCATCTGAGCTACCAGGGCTGCTCACTGTTGCATACTTTGTATAAATAGCCCATTTATGAAATATAGTTTTATGTTTTAAGGTGGCTTTGATCTGATGATGGTCTGCCAGCAGTTGTGGACAATAGGTACATTTACAAAGGTTTTAGGTGTCAAATGTGGTGTCCTCTCCACTTCTTATAGCCTGAGTTGTGTGCTATCATGTCTTGCCAGCATTATACTTCAAATATAAGCTGGAAATCAAAATGACAAGCTAAGCACTTCGTTTTAACACCACAATGTACTCTGTACTCAATGTACACACTTACTCTGTGCTGCATCATTATGGCTGTAATTGCACAGAGAGGCAGCATTAGAGATGTGAGTCACTGCCACTGCAAACGTCAGAGATGTGCCTTAGTGTTGTGTGCTTGATAGTTGCAGTCAAACGCATCTGACCTTACTAAGGTCAACAAAAGTTTATCTCAGTAGATTTTAAAGAAAGCCAGAGGCTGACTTTTACAGACAAATTCAGGATCAGTGCTGGTCTATAATCTGATAAAAAGTAATCAGCTTTACATCATCTGTATTTATCTCTTTATTCAGAAAGACCTTCACAGTGAGGGCTCAATAGCAAGCAAAATGATTTGTCATGCAGAAACTCCTCAAATAACCTACACATAGATGTACAGCTTGTTAGAATTGTCTGGCATCCTGTTTTAAACATAGCATGTGATTTGAAATCACCACTTTCACTTAATGTAGTGAAAACAACATTACATTTTCTTTGTTTTACGACTCTTCAGGAGCTGCATATACTGTACAATACTGCACTTCTGACTTACTTTTACAATGCAGTATACTGTATGTGTTTAAGTAAATTCCAATTAATGTGATCATTTTAGGTTAAACACTGGTGACTTCAGCTTTCTTTACATGTTTGCAGCCATTTAGTTCTATACAATAAACATACGTTAACATAAGATTCCTCTACAGAACCATGGATGGCTTTGGATTGTCAATTTTGACTTAAAAATGAAACAACAGAGCTGGATAGGAGTAGTGTATAAATGAGAAATATGTAATGGACACTTAAAAGCTCAGTTTAAGTATGATTTTTTGATTGAAGGCAACAATACTTGATACTGTTTCTGAGAACCTGTCTGGTATATCCTACTGTAAATCAGTCCATGGCTACTATGTGATTTTCAATCAAGTGGTGTACTGTAGAAAAGATAAGGTTTAGTGCAAAAAGGGAATGATTAATCATTTACAACATCATGAAGAAATAAAAGCAACCAAACAGAAAACCTTTACTTATAGAGAATAATAGATTTTTAAAAATAGAAATACAAATAACTGAATACTGTATCATACTTCAAACTTAAGATGAATGGTCTTTAAGATCACAATCAAAATTAAAATATTAAATGTCTTTTGCAAACTCCTCTTTTTGCCAGTATCTTTGGATGGAATAAGAGCAGGACCACAATCAACAACATGAGGAAAAACAGAACAACAACCACATGAAAATGATCAAAGGCTACTCTGACAGTCAGCTGGGAGAGATGCTCAGGGCATGTTCTCATCATAGTATCAACTATTGACACCGTTAGCATCTGGTTATATACGTGTCTGGGTTTGCACATTTAGACTTTCACTGTGCCAGAGATACTACTGTACCTCAGCCTGTCCCTCACATCAAATTGTTATACAATGAGATCATATTCAGGGGGAAAAGGTATTCACTTGGCATGAGGTCACAACAGTTGTATGAATATTGGTTCCATGAGATTTTTGAGGAGCATTGGCAGCACACCTAATAAAGAAGATGCCTGGCACCTCTGAACACACAGGCATAAGGAAAGATTAGTTCTTATGGATTTCAGAAGTGAATTAAATTATACCAGCAAATGAAAAAAGTCTGTGATACAACAGTTCTTTTAATGCAGCCAGATATTTTGTTACTGCCTTGACACATCTGAATAATACAGTATATATTTTGGGATTTAATGATTTTGCATAGGTATTTTTGGTTTTACAGTTTTGTGACAAATATAATTCAATCTTATCTTCAAATGGAATTAGTTCAAGTTAATCAGAATGCTATGTTGATGTTAGCAAGCATTACAAGACCATCAATGTGAAGTTCAGTATAGATCTATATAGATGAAACAAAAGCTAAAAATTCATTTCCTAACCAGAAGAATGTACAACTTGAAAAAAAGGCTAAAAAAGTCTTTTTATAGAGCTCATGTGTTCTTAATGATTTTGTTGCTATAGGGACCAGACACATGGTAAACACAAAGCTCCAACTGCATTACAACGAGATTGAAGGCCTCACATTCCAGCAGTGATGTTTCACAGAAACCTGTCTGAAGCATTGCATGAACTAGGCTTTAATATCTCTACTAAGCTCACTGATGATAATGATGAATACATCAGTATTATCAATTTTCTGGACTTGGATGAGATGTACAATATTGGAAATCATTATTTTTGGGGGAAAGTGAATTTCTAATGCAAATTATTTCCACATTAAACTCAAACATTTGTATAACGTATAATTCGTGCACAATACAATATTACAGAAAATATGCAAAGGCGTTTCAATTGATTGATTTAGTAATGTTTATGGGAGCCATTTGCTTTATAAAGAGTTTGGCATCTTGCTTTTGTGCAGTTAATCATTTAAGCAGAATGGTGATCTAAAATGTAACCAATTTGTTTGGATACCGTTTGCAACATCTACTGTATACAGTATACCCTCATGTGGCTGCTGATGTTCGTGTCACTACTTTGTGGAGGCCAAACATCTCTGTTAGCTTTTCCTCTTTACAAACCAAATACTTTTTCACTACATTGCCTGTAGAATTGTAACTGCTGAAGGAGATGAAGGAGATTAATGAGGGAACAGCTGGCCTGTATCAGTCAACTGTCTGGATAGCCCTGAGTTTGTGTAAAACTCCAAGACCCGTAACAGAGATACAGCTCAAATGTACTGATGACACCATTGATTCATTCTAGCTGGTCTACATTGCCTGGAGAGAGATGTAAAAGCCAATCATAGAAAAAATATGCAAAAGTCTATCTTAATATTCTAGAAGTAACATTATACCTGTATTTGGAGAAGTCCACCAACTTAAATACAAGTCACTACAAGTTTCACACACCATCCTTAAATTTGTACATGCTGTACAGCATGAGTACTAAGCATTAAGACTGCCAAGTGCTAATAGGTGTAATCTTTATTATCTAACATTTTGACACCTAGATGCTTGTCATGTGTTTACATATTTAGTACTTTGCAATGACCAGACAGATCAGATCTTGGGTCCTGTCACTGGATGACTGGGACTCTTATTCCACCAAACTATAGCACACAATTGGTTAGTCAGTGAGGACTCTCTCAGCTCATGGCGATATTGTGATCTCTGTGTTCTCCAGGCGCTTGCAGGTTTGCAGTGCTGTTGGCAAAGGAAGTACTGTACATTTCCGCCAATCAGCAATGAACATTCAGCACAGGACTGCTTAGCCTGTAACATACTAAAAAGCTTGAAAGTGGGCAGGAATCTGCACTTCATCATGCTGTCCCGTATTTGGTTGCAGAAGTCACAGCATGTTTATAGAATGGACTTCCTTGTTTGTTAACTTTTGCACACTGTTATTTTTTCAGTATATTTTTCAGCCCACGTGGTTTAATTTGAAAGCACGTTGAAACAGTGAATAAAAACATAATGAGAACGTGTCAATTGCACATTCCAACAAATAAAAGAATACAAATTTGTGTGGTTTTATCTGACATTCTCAAAGAAGGGTCTAACCTATCCTTCTTGTCCTTATAATACAATTGCTTGACCAAAGTACGAACCAGAATTCTTCCAGAAAAGCCTCCATCACACAACAAGCAATTCCGAGTTCCGTAGCTTGGCCAAACACTAGATAAGGTGGAGAAGAGACATGATTCAAATAAAGCATTTCACTCATTTAACTCACCTGACTGAGGAGAACAACCCGTCTATGAGTAGGGTGTTGTCAGTACTTCCTTCCTTTAATGAAGGTTGAGCCAACTTGTACAGTGTGTGAGTCAGCAAGAAGTGCAATATTAAAACATATGTAGATAGAAATGGGTGAGGTTAGGGTTAGACCTTCTCACAGGTTTGAGTGTTAGAGTCCTTTAGATTCCTTGTGTGTTAGAGTACTTTAAATGCAGAACATAAGATTGGTTACAAACAAGAGGAAGACATTTGGCCCAACTATCTTGATTTACTGGTAACATACAGTAGATCTGAGGATTTCATCCGGAAATTTATTGAAAGAAGCCAATGTACTGTATAGAGCTTCATCTTCATGGCTAGGTAAATTGTTACTGACCTCTAAAATCCTGGTGTCATAAAGGTGTTACTAAAAATGTAAACCTAAAGCACTTCTACTAGACAGACTTAAAAAAAAATGTATAGGATGGAATTCATAAAAGGCCGCTTTGACTTTGTGTATAGTAAGTTGTATTTATCCAAATTTAAAAACTGATGAGTTCAGATCAGAAAAAAATAAACATGCTGTATAAATGTTGTTGTTTACATGCCGCTTGTACTTAAGAAATTACCAGTCAGCTGATTTGAAGGGTCCACTTAGTATTTACGATAGTACTTTGTAATTTATAGCAATACAAAAACATTAGCAAAATACAAGCACCTCTTATGTTTGTTTTTAAATGGATGTTAACATTTAATGTGAAGTAGGATTCTTTTGTTAAATTCTATTGAGAGTGAAGAAAATCAGACACCCAATGTCAACTCATACATACTCTAGTACTGTATTTTCTCAGTGTTGTACTTCCATAAAATCTGTAATTATAAAATTAAATTTGCAGTGGTGTCTCAGAACATGGGGGAGTTCGTACCAAAACCTCAAAATAGTAGTTTTATGTCATCATGCTCAGTTTCACAGCAGCTGCTTCCACTTGTAATGTCAAACTCATTGCATTTTTTACAGAAATCATATTATTCACTTTAATTAAATTAAGCACTTTTCACAGGCCTGTTCTGGAGAGCATAACATCAGGGCATGACTTATCAATTTGTGCTCAGTTAGAGTTAAGACTGCTTTGCTTACTTGAGGAAGAACACTCTCTCCCCGAATGGGCTTCATTTTTACTGCTTAACCTCTGCTTTTATACGAGCCAGCTCTACAGCCTATTGCCTGGCCAAACCCACATACCAGAAGTTGCGATTATGTTTTTGGACAGTTAATGAGATTTTTTTTTTAAAATTGCAAAACAAATGTCTGCACATCCCTCTCAGAAAAGCTGTCCAAATTGGAAAAAAGTTACTTTAGTAACTTTAGTTGTAAAAAACTCTCTGACATTAGTATGTATAGTTGAACATTTGTTTAAAAATGATATTTCATCTTTACAATTATTAAGAAATATAAATAAACAAAAAGTTAACTCAGACAGACATTTCTGGTGAAGCAGATGCCTGACTCTATGCTGGAGACACAGTCCTGGCTGTACCCCTGTGAGACCTCAAAGAAGGAAAGTAAACAGATACAGTATGTGAAAGGACAGTGACTATTTACTTATGGGGAAGACTGTTTGCCTTGCTCAGAGACCAAAGAACAGACAAGACTTGGGGCTCATGGGTGTATGGTGAAGGCAAAAAGCACAGACTGTGAGGTTCTCATGTTGCACTAAGGGATAGTTTTCATTCTTCTATTAGCAGGAAAGCTTGGGCCCCTGACTTCACAGTGAAAGCATCCCTGTGCCAGGAAAATGCATTTCCTTTAAATTATAGGGCAGTACTGTCAGTCTGGTAAAAAAAAAAGGTCAATTGAAACCCACAGTTATACAAATAGAATCCCTTTAAGATAAAATGCAGTTTTTTAATCACCTCATATTAAAACTAATATCATTCAAAAAAGCTTCACTTTGAATCTCAGCACTACAGGAGTTAATGTTTGCTCTGTCTTTACACCTGCAGCTAAACAAGGCATTGGATAAATGATCATATTGAATTGGGGATTAATTACCCTTGAACAAATCCCACACCAGGAATTCAATTCCACTTTAAGGACACCTGTGCTCTCATCTAAATATTTTCATGTAGCTTCCAGTTAACAATTATATCATCCAGTTAAAGCAATTCCCAATTCTGGTACAAGGAGATATGGTGCAGGACACACATCCCTCCATACCACATTCAGCTTCAGCAACCAGCAACCTTCATACAATCATACAGTGTGCATGTGACACAACACCTTACGGTTAAACTTAAGCTACAAATATTTAGCTGAATGTGTATTTAATTATAAAAGGGCAGGTCTTCTTTTACATGGTGTTTAAACAAAGGTCTTCTTTTAAGGAATGTTAATGCTGTTGAAATGTTTATTTGTATTCTTTAAAATGTAAGGTTTCCTAGATGTGTTTTCAAAAACTGTTTCACAAGGTTTGAAAACGAAATCTACTTCTAAACAATAGTCAGGCATTGGAATAATGGAAACAATTAGTCTGTTAGCTTCTGGTATAGGATACAGGATGTTCCACAAAAAACAAATTCATAACGGAAGCCTATTACCACAGAGAAATGATGTAACCCGCACTAACAATAAAAATAAGAATCAATTTCTACTGATAGTGATCCACTCTTCATGATTCTCTGATTCACCCTCATATCAACTGAAGAAAGCCGTGTGACAAAAATAAATATGTAAGCAATAATGAATAACTACTAAAACGTGACAATCAGATGTTTCAATGTGCAGAGGGAGACAATGTAATCAGAGAAGGGAAAGTAATTACACAGAAAACAAAATGAGAAATTGCTAATGTATAAGAATTAAGCTGCACTATTGAAAATACGAGAGACTGAAGGAGACTTGTATAAATGTCCTTTAGTAAGGCCAGATTAAATAATATTGCCAGCTTCGTCAACAACTGGAGTTTTTCCAGCAAGAAATACAAATGATCTGGGCAGGAAAATATTACAATGTGAACCAACACATACAAGTCCAAGCTGTGTACAGTACACACGCAAAGAGAGATAGACTGTCACACACACACACTGTGAAACACACCAAAAGCCCAACTATAGTTTCCTTCCAAGAAGTCCAGTAACAAAACAAATGCAGAAAACCAAAGGTCATTGAGTTTATTTTCTTTGATTTCCATGTTTTTCCCCTTTATGTATAACAAAGAACTGAGAGAAGCCATTTAAATCAAGGTTCTGTTGGAAGACAAAAGGGTTAACAAAATCCAGGTGATTAGGGAAAGTTAATTACATCAGAAGAAGTCAGAAACCAGCACACATGTATGCCATATAAATAAAAAGAAAAAAGAGGGACAGAGCATTTAAGGCCATCATTGTTGTATGTAAATAAGGTTCGGCACAAAGCTAAGTTCGGTGGAATGGATCTTTCCCCTTTAACACAAGCTAAGAACATGTGTGCAGCAAGAAATATATAGTTCATAGTCCTTTTAAAAAATTTGAAAAGCAAGAGCAGCCAAGTGTTTCCAGAACAGGCACAACACTTTCTGTCTCACAGGCTTTTTAATATTGCAAAGCAAATACTGAGCCCAGGGGTAAAATAAGACATAGCCATAATATCAATTACAATGACTTCTTCTTGTTTCAGATGGAAGAGATCATTGAATTATTCCAGATGATAATGCTTGCAGTAAACCAAACTCATCAAAATATTTCAGAGAAACATAGAAAAATGTAGCAAACACATTTTTTTTTACTATAGCAACACTTGCAGCAATTGTATCTATCCTGTTGAATAGACATAATTAACTAGATGTACTGTAGCAAGTCCAGAGTTCATTACGAGCGAAGTGCAGCTATTAACTGGAGCAGACCTATTAGCAAAGTATAAACCCATTGGTATATTCCTGCTGGTATAGAATATTTACTGTTTACAGTAAAAAAAAAGAGAAAAAGATTCTTCCAATTTGATACTGACATTCGAAAAACATTAAGACCTTTTGCAGCTGTCACCACAATAATAGAGCAGTTTATATGTCAAACGCCAAGAAATTCTATTGTTCAAGCTGCAAAAATTCGGAAGTATTCACAAAAGTAAAGGAAAGCCATTACAATTAATAGACACAGTCATATACATATCAACAAAGGTATATTATACAGTAGGTTAGAGAGTGTCATTTCAGGAAAAAAATCTTGAGACACTGTAATAGACAGGAAGTGTTTAAAAAACACTAGACGTGAATGAGCTACTTCAGTTCTTTGAGATTTTAAAAAATAAAGATGTAGCAGGTTCAGGATATTTAATATTATTTTCTGTCTTACTAGTCAACAGGCTATTTAATCAGGTGGTTTGTATTCTGTGAACCTTGGTGGTACAGTGTTCATGCCTTACAGTGATTGTTCTGTGTTCTTGCTATATGTCACTAAGAGATCCATATAGAGTCACTTGCAGGATCTTTTTGTTTTTCCAGTGTTGTAAGTTAAGTTACAGTACAGTGAGTCTCCTTGACCACAGTTCCTGAGTGAGTTCACCTAGACCCTAACTGCTGAAGGGCCATTTTCTAATGCAGACTGTCTTGTTTACCACCATTCATGTGGCATGCGGAAGAGAATCCATAATATCCTTATGGGCTGATGGTTTGTATCATCTCCAAATCTTCACTATTCCTGCATTCATCTCCCAGGAGTTGAGTGAAGTCTTGCAGAATTCCCCTGCATGGCAGAGATAGGATCTTTCCAACTTTGGTTTGATGTCTGAGACTTGTTTTGTTGATGGGTAACAGGCGAGCACTTGTATCTTCTCTCAAGGTAAAAGTTTACTTGACTGGTTAACACAGGATCAGTTTAATGCAGCATATAACACAACCAGATTGGGTGTTCAGAAAATGTCAGACAACCAATCCATTGAATGGCTTGTTAAAAATAGATATCAGTAGCCTTTGCTACGTAAATATGGTAAATATACAGTAAACAAGGCTTGGCATATTTTAAGAGAAAAAAAGTTGTTCTGTACAATTTTTCCGCACTGCCATCTAGTCTGCAAAAACAAAATCAAACAAAGACATTGTTACACAGTGGATCAGTAAAAAATTTGAAAAATGCAATATTAATGAGGTGGGTGATAAGTGGTTTTAAAACAATGACATTGTATAATATAGGATTCCCAAGGCTAAACATTCACAGAAAATTACTAAGGTAATACAGTACTGAAAAACAAGTTTTAATTAAATTGAAGACAGATATGAAAAAGGCCTATAAAGCTATAAAGGATATAAAGCTTCTGAAATGCATACATTTTAAATCCAATTCCGGCTGCAGTTTTTTAAAAGAGCACCGAAGGCAGATTCACTAAGTACCCCCCACCCCCTTTTAGAAGTATTTAAAAAAAAACAAGACAGAGACACATGTTGATTTTGTTTTACTTTTCCAGAACAAATATGTGGCATTACCCCATCCATGAGAACGACTCACCTTAGCTGGGAGATGTTGTGAGGATCAAGGCCAAAGGATAAAGGCAAGAGAAAAGAATAAGAAGAGAAACAAAAACTGCAGAGAGTGGGAAAGACAAACATCTGTTAGTGGGAGGCTGAAGCAGGAAAGAACAGCTGAAAATTGAATTTACAGAGAGAAACACCGAGCAAGGAACATGGGACAGCACCTTTAAGAACATAAAAAAAACATGTAGAACTAAAGATCTTTTGGCCCATCTAGCCTTGATCCAAGGCTGTGATCCAGCCATTTTGTGAAAGAAACCAGGGTATCGGCTTCAACAACATGTCCGGGAAGCTTGTTCCACACTCCCACAACGCTTTGTGTAAAGACCTACTTTTGTGTACTATCCAACTAAGCTCTGGTTCATGTTTAATTGGTCAATTGGAAGAAATCCACCGGGGTTTCTTTGCACAGCCATCATCAAAGTAAAAAATACGAGGTTATACAGTTCTATTTTTTCAATGACTATTCTTAATTCAGTAATAAATTTACACTTTGATGTATGCATTCATTCCATTCAGAACTCCCAAATATGTTGTAATTCTAAAAAGCATATATCTCTTTTAACAACAAAACACAGCTGGAAGGTTTATCCAAAATGAAAACCATTTCTGATGCCATCTTAAAATGACTTGGCACGATGTACACTGTAAATATATTTTGTGTATTGCGCATGAAAATATCTCACCTTTTCTTCAAGGTCTTTAATTTGTCTCTTCTGGATATCAGTTTTATCCTCTAGATCTCGAATTCTCTGAAAATAGAAATTATTTTTGCTTTGTACAGTATGAATTGGAAAATGTAACATTTCACTTTTGTACTGGAGCACACACTGCAGTTTTTAAAAAATATATTTCTGTGAGACAGCATAAGGGCAAAATAAATATTATTAACTACTAAAAAAGTGAAGCGAGTGACTCTGTAAGGCATGAAGTTACCCCCCATATTTTGAGGATTTGTATTTTATTTATACACAACCCTGCCCTCTGGTGTGCACACTGAGAATAGCAATATTCAGCTTCGACTTGCGCAAGGCCTAAAACACCCGAAGAAGGGCCCACAGCCGAAACGTGTTTTCTTTCTTCTCTTTTCAGCATTGAATAAACCTATTAAGTGTTCCTAAAATAAGAAGCTGTTATCTGTAAAAAAAATATTTTTCTTCCTTCATGCACATGTACAGTAGTTCCCACTTATGCCCTCTGGTTAGTGTTTCATTGTTCATTTGACAGAAATCTGCTGGGGTTTCTCTGCACAGAGCCCACACCAAATTTAATGAATTACAGTAAATGAAAAGTTGCCTGTATGGAAGTTTCAGACTTCTTCAAAGTCTAATATTTATACAACAACATACCCATTTAGAAAAAAAAAGAATGTATTTGCTTATCCCTAAGGTATTTTATAATCCACCCATTTTCTAACTGCTTCTTCCTGTTCAGGGTTATGGGGAAGCTGGAGACTTTCGGAGCACGCAATGAGCGCAAGATAGGATACACCCTGGACAGGACATCAGCCCATCTCAGGGGACACTCACACAACCACACATTCACACCAGGGCGAATTTTCCCAGAAGCCAATTAACCTAACAGTATGTTTTTGGACTATGCAAGGAAACTGGAACATCAGGAAAAAAACCCACATGAACACAGGGAGAACATGGAAACTCCACACAGATAGTAGCTCAGGTCTAGGTAGTGTACAATAACCCAGTTAAAGTAAGGCAGCGAGGATGCTTTCAGGAGAATACCTGGTGTGCCTGGTGAAGCAGCTCCATCCTCTCCTGCAAGATCTGGCAGTCGTACTCCCGACTTTTCCTCAACATCTGGCGCCGGAGTTTCTCCACAGCAGTGCGCAGCTCGTCCTTCTGCCTCTCTGTCAGAGATTCCCCATACTTTATCACCGTGTCCTGCTGTAAGGCATTGTACAGGGTGGCTTCCAGCTCCTGGATTTGCTGCAAAACAATTTGGAGCAAGTTTTGTTTTTTACTCAGAAGTTTTTTACTTTTTAGCAGAAGAAGAGGGCTCTTGATACATGTATAATTCTGAAAGACAACATCAACCTATTGCATAGGGATAACCATTGTTTCAGTGAGAAGACAATGACTGCAGACTTCCCACCACGGATCTGAACTCATAACAATTATTATGAAAATCAATAAAATGAGATTGTATTTACCATGTAGGCCTGGTCCAAGGCTTGCTTCCTATAATCGAGTTCCTCCTCCAAGTAGCCTTTCTGCTTACAAAACATCTCCTGTAAAGCAATCAGAAAAATATTCCAAACTGCAGCATGAATGAAAGTGTACAGAAGTCATGGTTTTCACATCTTGAAACCTGTGCTAGAATGGAAAATTAGTATGGTGTGGATGATGTATGAATACATTATTCAACCGATCTGCACCAAGGTTGAAACATATTGGTTGTCCATATAAAATAAAGATGTCATGCTACTGCCTCAATACCCCTGATATCACTTGCTTTCTAATGCAATGATAGCATGTCTCAGCGCATTATTTTTAAATGGTATGGGTGGCTTTAGTCATCATAATACGGTACCAGCAGGGGTACCGGTTTTAAAAACTCCAGGACAGTGGAGTTAATACCCTCTGCTCCTGCAAAATCTGTTACAGTATGTCTACAGTGTGGATGAGATCTCAGACTAGCTTGCAACATTGAAGACAGGACCAATGTTATTACTGCATCCCTATAACCGTACTAGGATGTTAGTTTCAAATATAAGGCAGTGGTGTGGAGTAGTAGTTAGGGTGCTGGACTCACAAGTGGAAGATAGTAGGTTCATATCCCATGCAATCTTATGTGTGGGTCCAAATGCTAGTTATTTGCATAAAAGCATGTGCCCAAAAATATTTGGCATCAACGGGACAGGCAGAGTTTCTGAGGAACAGGACTTAAATACATAACTGTGATGGTCATCTCACACACTCACCATTTCAAGCTCCAGATCCAACATTTTCTGATGAAGAGCAGCTTCGGTGCCTTCAATCTGCTGTATCCACTATTGGACAAAGCAAGACAAGACAGAGAAAGTCCAAACAGCAAACAAATGCAGCGCAACTTCATAGATATTAAAATCAGACACTGCATTGGTAACCCTACCATTGTTTCAATTCTTTCAGCCAATGAACTGAACGGAAATTAAATAAAAAGCATACTAGAAACTAGAAGGAATTTCGGTTTAGAAAACATTTGCAGTTTTACTGATGGAGGATTTCTGATGTTTCATGGTTTAAAGGTATAGAGGATTCACTGACACTGAAGTACCTTTTCTGCGAGGGATAACACTGTGCTTGCTTGTATGATGGCCACTTGCTCTTCATTCCTTAAATTCTGTATGAAAGATATGTAAAGAGAAATATAAAATTAACTGTACTTCTGCCCACAAAAGTGGGCAGAAGTACTGAAGGATTCTGAAGGATAGTGCCTGAAAAAACCTTCACAACTGATGAATCATTGATTCTTTCTGTTGTTAAAGCTCAAGCTTTTGTCTTTGAGTGTTTTTCTTTCTTTTCTTTGCACATTTCACTAGATCAGGCAATTTTCAAGTAGCTCTGTGTAATGAAACAATCAATATACTTAAGGAGCAACTTATTTTACACCGAAAGCCGAACAATCCACATTACTCTTATTACTATATTGTTAAGACTTGTGATTTTCTTTTCCGCTTCCATTCTTCATCATGCTTTTTTCTCAAACAACAGGACCATGTAGTTTGTCTTTATAAAAAAGTAATGCATGCATTCAAGCAATAGTGCCGCTATAGTACAGAATGAGTAGCACATGCAAAACAGTACTTACCCCATTGTCTCCAAGTATATCCAAGAGCTTTATAAGATCAGGAATACAAACATCCTAAAAAGGAAAAAAAAATGTGTAAGAGCTTATTAATAATAAATATGACTATCAGTTTGGGAAAAGAACCTTTCCTTTTTGGCTAGGGTTATAATGACAAATATTCAGATGAGAGATCTTAGCATAAAACTGTTATTTTGCAGGTCTTATTTTGCACCTTACATAAAGGCATTTTCGAGAACACAACCAATGAACCGTTAAAAGACGCCAACAAATCTCAGTAATAAACAGAATAAGATTTTCTTTCTTCAAAAACTAGAAACATTTGACACATTTTAAGTCTTTAAGACAATGGCTGCCATTAGCACATTTGTAAGTCCAGAACTAAATCAAATGGAATATCATCTGTAGTGTTAACAGCCAAGAATAAAATATTTTAGTAAGGCTTTTTGATAAAGTTCCCCATAAAAGATTCATTCTCAAATTACATGTGGTAACTATTTAGAGAAATGTAAGTGCTTGTTTCCATTGAGAATGTGTTAATAATTATAAAATATAGACCACAGATATTGTTGGGGTGATATAGTTAGTGGAGCACCACATGGACAACTGTACAGTACATCCAAATTCATATCAGCTGAGAAGCTGAGACTCTGGCTTTTTTTCAGGAAACGGCTGGATGAGATTCTTGGATCAATTAGCTATAAAATGGTCTACATGTTCCAATGGCCTCCTCTCAATGACAACATGGTGATATGTTCTTATGTATTTACTATATGTTTGAAAAGAAATTGGGAACATAGACATTGTGCACCTTTATTGAAAGACCTTAGCAATACCGAGTAATAAAAAATCAGAGTCATTTATTCATGTCTGATTTTTTCAAGATCTACTGTGTTGTGAGGCCTTGTGTCCTCAGCCATACCTTCACTCCTTCCTTTATGCAGTAGATCTGCAGAGCACTCACTCCTTCTGAGAATGGCTGGTGGATCTGCAGATTGAAGGGTGGAGATCTCCTCTCGCGCTCCTGAAGAGAAAGAAAAATCGACACACAGATCTAACCTTGAACTCTGAGAGCCTGCTGTACTGTAAATGCTGTTCTATTATAAGAGTTTCATACCAAAAAAACTTCTATTTTCATATAATTGTTTTGCATGAGCCATTGTAGTTATAAAAACTGTCCCCACACCTTCGGTTAGTTCTATGACATGAAAATACACATATTGTACAGTAGGTGGAGATATACGTTATATGAGCAAGTCCCCCTTTCAAATCAACAGTTCAGTCTGGGTATGCCAGACAGCCCATTTCTGAACAGGCAATGTAACCGAGTGGTCAATTAGTGATGCTGCTGGAGCAGTGAACTGTGTGGAGCTGGTGTCTGAATTTCAATTCGTTCCACAGACTAGGCCTACAGGCAGAGAAGAGAAGGGGGGGATAGCATCGGGGTGTTTTGCTGAATAGTCTTTGCTTTATTGTTTAAGTATCCAACAGTTCCCCAAAACAACAAAAAATGCTTAAAAGTTCTTTCATTCTTTCATTACCATGCTCAGCTCAACAGTTCTTATCACGCCATGATCTTTATTTCCATTCCTAATTCGAAATGTAGTTATTGAGATTTTGTTTTGAGACATAGGCAATATTCTTTAAGATCCTACATTGGCACATTAAGGATTCATGAACATGGAGCTTTTCAATGCAATTCCTAAAGCAATCTTTTTTCCCCACCTTATGTGACTCTTATGCAGTATACAGCGGCAGTGAAGATTCAATGCTCAGCTACAATTAAATCGTATAAAGATAATAACTAATTACAGACTTGAAAAAGTAGTCATATTTTATACTGACTGGTATAAAATCCAATAAAAATATTAACATTAGGGGCAATGGTATTTGTTGCCTTTTTAACATCTCTCACATCTCTCATGCAGTATAAAGAGGAAAACTGGCACACCTCTAACTCTAAAATCCGAAACTCGAGCAGCTCATTCTGGTCCTTGGAATCTTGTAGCTCTTGTTGAAGTCTATTTATATCTGCTTCCAGTTTTTCCACCTGCAAAAAAAATATACAATAACACAATGATTTACTCATTTCAAATTAATGTTTCGAAGGAATATTCAAACCTCAGCAGCTACCTACCTTATCAAGGAGGTCTTGATTTCTTCGGAGGAACAATTGCTTTTCTTCTACCCATTTGGAATCCTAGAGGGAAAATGTCAGGAGGATTATGAAAGAAAAAAAGATAAATGGATTGATAATATCAATTCAAAAGTAAAATAGTAACTAATTAATCTGCCTTGAGCCTCAAATGATAAACACATTGGATTGATTACCCTTTGCCATCAACAGGGTAATAAATGAGGACAGCCCAGTGCATGGTTTTGAATCCTGAACTTTTCACAGTCAGATTCAAAACCTGGTTTATTCCTATTGGCATCCTACAATTACAATGTCAGACTTTATATCAGAGGACAACTACTCTTCTATTTACAGTACTATTTACTATTTAATTACTATTACTATTTAATTACTAATTACTATTATACTATTTATTCTTCTATTTGCAGTACAGTACTATGTACAGTACAAATATACAGTATGTATATTTTATTAAACAAACTACTCATTGTTTGTATTCAAACACTTCGTGATACACAGAGTATTACTGCTCTGTGTTAGGGAAGTTTGTTCCCTGCATGTCTATGTATTACATTATATACACATCCTTCCCAAATAATTCTATAAAGAGATTTTCATTATCCTGTGTTTATTTTTTTATTTTTTAAAGGAATGACATAAATAATAAAATACATTTCTTTACCTGTCCCTTTTGAGAGATTTCTTTTTCAAGGTCTTCGATTTTAGCTTTATACCTGAGAACTTCAGCTTGAAGCTGTTCATGAGCCTGTATAAGAGAACACTGTGGTCAGTACTCCTTTATATCAAATGCACATAATTTACAATATGGACACAGTGTAAGCATGCTGGCTGAAGGCGGGTTTGCAGTTATAGCAACCTGCCACTAGAGACCGATAGACAGGCTGTAATCTTTGTAAATAGCAACACAGTAGGTGTTCATTTTATAATTGATTAGAATAATAGTAAAGGTTGTCCCTGCACATTCTCACAATGTTTTTCAAATAAAAAATCCATATGTCACGTGTTTTTGTGATGTGTGACCTAAGACACTGGACTGTAGTTTATGGCCACCTTGTGTTTTAGATGCATACAGACCATTAGGCTATATAAGGGTAGGATCTGTCACAGCTACTTTCATTCTAAATCACACATTGCTCACAAGACTGAGTTTCTAGACATCTGACTGAATAGTATGATAAACACAGTATGTGGTGTAGACAAATGTGTGATTCTCTTTTATATTCGATATCTTAGCAGCACAGGAAGGGCAGTAAAAACAAGGAAATTTGATTTATCTATAGACTTGTACCTTACATACTAAAACAAACATACTGTATATAGAGATGTTCAAGTGGGTAGCTCTGTCAGTGTGTGTAGACTGCAAAGGAACAAGTAAAGGTTTATTCCTTGCTGAAAAGTGAAGAAAAGAAACACAATGTTTCAGCTGTGGAGCCTTCCTTAGGTGTGGTTAGACCAGTGTTTCCTGGGTGTGGAAAGGGTTTTAGGAGCTTGATTGTTGCATTGATTAATGAAGTACTCTACTGACAGAAAACAGCCAGAGAGGGGAGTCCAACAGCTCTGTTTAGGATTAATATTGTTAATGGCATTGATAACCGGGTTGCTGATGAAGAGGAGTCACCAGCAAAATGTGCTCTGAACAAAATCCTGCAGTAAAAGCAGTTAAGATCAACATGGGTTTGGGAATGTCCAGCATCTTGGGGACTGGTACACAACTGCTGAGAAAAGTCTGAGGGTACGGTTACCACAAGATTATGATTAGTGGAGGTAGTGGGAGTGTTGACATTTTTTTCTGTAAAAGATGATAGAGTTTTTTATCCTGATCTGCAGTGAGGAAGTCTGGAGTTGAGGGATCCGCTGAGGTTAGTTATAAAGGGAAGATGATGTGGAGCTATTAGTCATACAAAAATCCTTAGCTTCTTTAATGTTGTTGTCAGAAAGGGTAAGCTGTTGTTCAAGGAAGAAAATGTCAGAAAGCATTAGTTTCCTTGAAAATTGTTGAAGAAGTGTCCAAGTCAAAGGAAGAGGTGTTAAATTTCAGATTAAATCCTTTAGGAATGAAATGATAACGACGGCATATGTAAAGGAATAGGAGGTGGTTGGAAAGTCTGGTCTTGGAACAGATCGCTGTGAAGAGACGGAATGTTGGTCTGGTGAGAGAAGGGGGCAGGTAGCCCAGGGAGAAGGAGAAGGAATGACGAAGAGATCTAGAGAAAGATTTAGCAGAAGGCATAGTGGGTTGCAGTAGAAGTAGGCTGAAGAAGTTCAAGTGGGTAGCTGCGTCAGCATGCGTAGGCTGCAAAGGAACAAGTAAAGGTTTATTCCATGCTGAAAAGAGAAGAAAAGAAACACAACATTTCGGCCTTTAAGTTTTCTTCAGGTGTCAAGAGCCTGAAGAGGGCTCCACGGCTCAAAGTTGTGTTTCTTTTCTTTTCAGCATGGAATAAACCTTTACTTGTTCCATATATAAAAATGGTCATTCTGAATATAGCATAATTAAATATACATTTTGATAAAAATTTCCAACATAACGTAAACGTCTTACAGCAGATTTCAGCGTGGCTAATGGTATTATGAAGACAGGAATAGAACTAAACTGCTGCCACTGTTGGTGATTTATGAGTGCTCTAGGGGTTAAATGGGCAAAGTCACAGGTCATTTATATGCCTCCTTCTACAAAAGATTTCCTGCCAACGAGTTGAAGTTGGTACCTTGGCTTCCTTCTCTGCATCTAGAATGCCCCCTTTCTGTTCCTGTAGGAGGGCATATGCTCGCTGGAGAGCTTGGTATTCCCTGGTCAGCTGACGGAACCGCAGCTCCGACTCCTCTGCCGCCAAGCTCTACAATCATAACAAGTTGGAGGTAATTCCACAAAGTAAACCAAGGAATTGTTCAAATAAAACTGGACCCAGCTGGGAGAAGACCACACCCCAAGTCAGCACTGTCACTTGATAACCACTGTTGCTATTGTGGAGTGTCACCCTGGAGCATTTGGACTGTTTACTATTGATATCCATCCATTTTCTAACCACTCTATCCTGTACAAGGCTGCAGGGAGATTATCCCAGCATGCAACAGGAGCAAGGCAAGGTACACCCTGAAAGGGATACCAGTCCATCGCAGAGCAGACACAGACACAGACACAGACACATCACAGCAAGGCCTATTTTCCAAGAAGCCAAATAACCTGCCAGTACGTCTTTAAACTGTGGGAGGAACTGAACCTAGGGCCCCAGTCCTGCGAAGTAACAATGTTAATCGCTGCACTACCGTGCTGCCTATTCTGTTGACATTAACACTGTAAATAAGTTTATTTCCCCAAACATCAGAAAATGGGAATTTACAGGGTAAATCACAAATCATAATTTATTTACATTTGTTTCTTCTAACAAATGGTAAGCCCCATAGGCTAATTAGAATGTGAGTGACTTTTGTTTGGGCTCCGAAGACCTTACTTCATCCAGGTCTTCGTCAGGAGTTGCCGGTGTCCTGTCAGTTCGGAAAGAGGCCACTGAAGAAGTTTCGGAGTCCATTGATTCCTCGTCATACCCAAAGAAGGTATCCACTACTATATGTCTCTGCATAGAAATATGATAACTATGAGATACAAAGCTTAAATTTACGCAGTTATAGACCTGAAAAAGGGGCAGTGCAGTGGCTCTGTGGGTAAGGATCTGCGTCTGTGGCTGGAAGGTTGCCGGTTCATATCCCGCGGTTGGCAGAGGAATCCTACTCCGTTGGGCCCCTGAGCAAGGCCCTTAGCCTCAACTGCTCCAGGGGTGCCGTATAAATGGCTGACTCTGCACTCTGACCCCAAGCTTCTCTCCCTGTCTTGTATCTCATGAAGAGCAAGTTGGGGTATGCGTAAAGAAAAAATTCCTAATACAAGAAATTGCATATGGCCAATACAGTGATCTTTTCTTATCTAAAAGTAGGCACCAAAAACATTTCAATTCATTTCATTCGGGAGACCATTAAAAAGATAGCCATGTGATGCTTTACTACTACAAATGTTTCTAGTCACCCTAATTCTAAACATTTAAAATCTGCACATTTAAACACCATTAACTGACAAGCATTCTGCATAGCTGGACATAACAGGCATGCCAAACATGAATCCTGACCTCCAAAGAAAACTCTGTGGTCTCACAAACCTCTCATTCAGTGCTCATTAAATTCTTGTGCTGACACACCTGACAGCCAGGCCTGAATTAGAACTCCCTCTGGGAGCTTTGCGGCTCCCACTCTTCCATTCTGTTCTGATTTGTTGATAAATCCCACTCTTACGATTGATGCCTCACCCGTTGTCACCCCTCAAACCCACTAAACAATTTAAATATTTAATACATTTGTGGGATCTAGAGAGCTAAAGTGGACACAAGAGTGCATGTGACGGAGCGTCAGAGATTTCTCACCTTGATGGGCTTTGAACTTCGTTTATGTTTCTTTCTCCGTAGAAGTTTTTCTCTGTCCTTAAAAAGAATTACATTACAGAATGTACATTAAAAATAATCTTTGAGACGATAGATATAGAGAACCAAGCAACTATAATACAAGCAATAAACATACTGTACATACAGTAGATAAAAATGCTTTGACAAATACTCAAATATTAAGCTCCTGGTACATGAATGTAATCATTCTTTTTGAGATAGAATGAGGTTATATGGCCAGCAGCATATCACCCTGCAGCTCAGAGCTAGCAACCCACCAAAGCTAAGCAGGTGAGCTTGGCCAGTACCTGGATGGGAGACCTCCTGGGAAAACTAAGGTTGCTGCTGGAAGAGGTGTTAGTGGGACCAATTAAGGAGTGCTCATCCTGCAGTCTGTGTGGGTCCTAATGCCCCAGTATAGTGTTGGGGGCACTATATTGTAAAAAAAAAAAAAGAAGCTGTCTATTGGAAGAGATGTAAAAGTGAGGTTCTGACTCTCTGTGGTCATTAAAATCCAAGGGAGTTTCTCGAAAACAGTGGGGATGTTATCCTGGTGTCCTGGCCAAAATTCCCTATTATTATTATACAGAAAAGTTATAAAAAACGCTTCACCCAGGGATACTGTATCTAGACTCTATCTCTGGACTTGAAGATCAGAAAACTGTTCACTCAAGGACTCCAGAGAAAAGGAGCCAGTGGAGTGATATGAACAGAGATCCAAGGAGGAGTTTCTGTTTGTTTCTCCTCTCCATGTGACATGCAGTTTTCTCTGTACTGCCTACTCTGGTGCACACATTCCCATACCCACGTACTTCTCTTGGCTTATCAGCATGTGATACTGCTTTCCAAAGCTCTTGCAGTGTATCAGGGAAATCTGGTACTGTTTCATTCCTGACAAGAAGGGACTGCATGAAGGACACATCCTAGGCTAAAGATTTTCCTTGTCCTGAATCACTGAGCAGGATGTCATCGATTGAGTTGATGTCATTATATGCAACAAGCATATGCATCTATAGCATCACAAAATCAGACTGTAATGGTAATGTCTCTGCTCAGGACTTCCTGCTGTGCACAAGCCACACTGGCATCAGCATATCTGGGATCCACAGGCAGGAAACCAGGAAAATTCGAAGTAACTAGAGCGCCTGGGGGAAAACCACACAAACACAGGGAGAACCTACAAACTCCATGCTATTAGCAACCCAGGTCCATAAATGAACCCAGGACCCCAGAGCTGTGAGACAACAATAATAACTATTGTGCTACCTTTCTGTCCATGATTTACTAATATTTAAATAACAACAATCTCTAAAAACCTCATATTTTGTTCTGATTGCACTGCAACTGTCACAGAAGACAAAAACTATGTGTAAGTTCCTATGTATTATGCAGTTATCATCTTATCTAAGCCTTTTGGTCCCATACAAACTTGTACAATAAGTTATCTCTTGTCTACCTAAGAGAGGCATACAAATGTTGCAGACTACGGAAGAAGGCTCACCCTGGTTAGGTCATCAATCATATTCTGTTGTTCTAAAACCTGAAGTTTTAAAAATTCTATTTCCTGTTCTTCATGAGCTTGATCCAGATCATTCAAAGATTTTAGCTTCTTGAGAGGGTGGTGAGAGCTCATCTTATCTTTCTGTAGAAAAACAAAAATCAAACCATGAAGATTTCTAATCAATGCAAAGAACACACTGTTACAAAACCACAGATCAGACCTTTTGTATGTTCAGGATGTGAGCTTTCAAAGCACACCTTTTTGTAATTGGAAAAGGCAGATATAACCAAGAAACAAACACAATAATTTTCGCTAATCATTCATTTGTCTGTAAGAGCCTCAGGAGCACAGTGGCGCATTACACATCTGTCTCAGTTTTGAAGTGAAGTTCACTTCTTCCACCTGGTACACTCACCATTTCCAGGTTTTCTTTCGTCAGCACCTTGAGCTTCTCTTCAAGGCGCTGCAGCGACTGGGTGAGCTCATCGTTTCTCTTGGTGAGCAGCTTATTTTTTTCCAGGAGTGGTTTGCATTGTTTCTCAGTTTCTCGTACCCGTTTCAGCTGTTGGAAAAAGCAGACAGGTACTTGCGGTTTCGGCTCTTTCACTGTAATGTTTTACACAGCCACATTTCTCTTCTTTTTGACTTCAGTAATCCATCATTGTAATTTCAAAGGAGCAAACAAAGACAAGCTTGCTATGGATTGGTTCCAAAACACTGAAACTCATTCTAGAAATGAATGTAAAAGCTGCTTTTATGCAAAATTGAGTATTGTATTAGGAGAGGCAGATTATGGGTAATTTAACCTGTAAACCACATTTTTTAACATGGAAAAGATTAAACAAAAATTCAACCTGTTACCCCTAAAACTGGTGCAAAAAAAGAACAGGACAGAAACTTTCCCAATACTAAACCACCTTTAGTGTTACAGTTTCTCAGCTACAAGCCTCATTTTTACAGGGTTGGAAAATGTGTATTTTTTAACTTCTAGAACAAAAATACCAATGGGTTCATACCAGTGCATTCCTTTCATCAACCAACAGTGTGTTTCTGTCCTCAAGCTTCCGGATGGTCGAATTCAACTCTGCCATTTTTCTCTGGTTCCTCCGCATGTCCTGCATTAGAAACACAGGTCCAATATTCAACTGATTTGAGTTCACATGCCCCATATGGATACAGACCTACTGTATATTAGCTCTTATTTCATCTGCATCCATTTCATTAAATTCAGATAAAAGCATTAATTCTTTCCACGCTGAGACAAAAACAACATAAAACAGAAATGCAAAAGAGACCAAATCCTTTAAAACAGTTAAGATACAGGGATGTGTGGTCTCAAAAAACGTAATTAAACAAATAAATTCTAAATGAACGGACTCACTGACTAGTGAGACTATTCTACATCTCGATGGCCTATTAACAACTTAATTCAAAGCAATCCGATCTCTGCCTTCTGAGAAAAAATGTAACCTCATCTTACAATGTTTAATTACTATGTTTATTCATTCATTATCACATATTTTATGTCCGTGAAAGGATGGCATGATATATATGGTATAAAAGATTTAAATTGCATAATTTATGCTGAAGTAGTCCGAGTGCTTAAATGCACTACAGCAGCAACGACTCTCATTAGTTCCGTGGAATGCAATGGTTGGTGAGCTTTTCAGTTTAATGCCATTACAAGCAGTCCAGTTCAGTTCAATTAAGATACATTCCTAAACTCTTCAACCTACTCATTTATCTTTGTACATCACAAATTATTCATTATCGCTCATGCTCACATGCACAAATAGCAAAGTGAGCTAAGAACATCACATTTAAACTTGCAGATGATGAAGTGATTCCCCCCCAAAAAAATACTAAGAGAACCTATCACCATCTTAGCAAGGATGCCTTGCCTATTACATTACTGCATGCAACTGAGGCAAATTCCAACAACCTGATAAGGTTACCTTTTCAATGGGATTATAGCATGTGGGATCCTTTTTAATACAATTAGAAAACATGGGATTTTTCCCCCAGAAGAAGAGCAAAAACTTACAAGACTGAGACCACAGAGGATCCAGATTCCATAAAACCCCTACTAGAGAGTGCGGGAGGAACTGGAATCTTTACTGGCATTCTTCATTCCTGCTTAGTTTCAGTCTTTCAAGTTTCAATCTGCCAGTGTACCTCTCTAACACTTTGGGACACCAAAAACACCTTTGTCCTCCTTTGTCTGTTTTGCCAGACTGATTTGTTTACCTGATGCACATGCCAGGCTGATTCTCAAAATCTGCCGGCGATCCTGTACCCCTGGAACTGAGGTGACCTACCGGGCTGCCACAGTGCTCTGCCCCGTCTCCTGCCCTCCCTGGAATCTCGCGCTTGGGGCTGCCCAGGTTGCACTCTGCCTCCTTCACCAGAAAGAGCTGCTCATCTAGGGCGTCCTTCTGCAGCTGCAGTTTCTGCAGGAACCCTGTCTGAGTCTCCAGTTCCTTTTCCAGTGCGAAAATGGTCCTGTCTTTACTTTTGATCTCGTCCACCTACGGCAGGAGGCAATCGAGATGTCATTGGTGAAGAAATATGGCACTCTGTGAGAAATTCAAGTTCAAAATCAGCCCACAGGTCACAAGAATGACTTTGTGGAAGTTCTATATTCCTGGGTTATTTGTCATGATATACTGTACTAGTCATGAACTGTCACACTCAGAGAAACAAGATGATAGCGTTGACAAAAAGGAGGCTTGTCATTGCTCAAAATGACTGTGTTTAACCTTTCATGCACTGCATAGTTTGTGAGCAGCATTAGAGTGTTTTTATCGCCTGCTCTTATCCTACTGTATACTAATCTCCATATGGGTCTATATACATTCTATGCGAATAATTGTGCTCCTACCCACATGATAAATCCTAATGCATGTGTTAGAATATTGTGTCAGACCAAAAAGCAATTAATCAAGATGATAAAATGACAAACATTCATCCATCCATTTTTTAAGCTACTTTATCCAACACAATGTTGCAGGAGAGCCGGAACTTACCCCACTAAACAAGAGGCACACAGACTGAAACTGGGGCCAATTTTCCCAGAAGCCAATTAACGTACCGGTATGTTTTTAGACTGTGGGACAAAACCTGAGACATAGGTCGAAACTCCGGCGTTCACAGGGAAAGCATACAAACTCCACTACAGTAGAAAACTCCACTACACACTATAGGAATATAACCCAGGGCCCCGGCACAGTGAGGGGATTATTTCTGAGAGAAATTCTGCTACAGAGCTTGTCACACCTTTCTCTCGAAAAGCAGCTTCCTTTAGGTTGCACTGACAGTTGCAATAAATCCCCAATTTCCAAACCTCCCCCTCTATTTTTTCTCTCTTTCACACACACCTCAAAATCTCACAACAGTTTAAACTGTGACAAAGTTTATAGTGCAGTAGACAACACAATCTACAGTCACAGGAACTATGCAGTTAGAATTTATTTAGAATTTAAAACAATCTACATTGTATTCAAATCACTAAAATTACAAAGGCCAACTGTAACATAACAATTAAAAGGGATACTGAGCACTGTATCACAAGGCATCTAATAGTGATGCTAATCACTTAATTTCCTTCTTCTGTTCTATAATTCTGTTTATCTGTTTTATTGCATTTTGAAAGACAGGAGAACATGGATCAGTCCCATGGCATCCCAGCTGCTCTACAGTAACTCCAGCTTTCTTTTAAGTTTTTTAAGTGTTAAGTTTTTAATCAAAATATTAATTAACGCAATTTAGTAGTTGGTATTAATGGTAAGAAATAACAGTCCTTTAATGTAAACAATCATAACTTAATGCATCACATGTCCTAAACTAGCACATATCTTTGAGGGAAGTGAATTGAACCGGACCATGGCTTATGACACAAAAATACATACTAAAACTGCTTAAACGTCTGCATATACAGTAGAAAAAAACATAATAATAATGACCGACACCTGATTAAAGAAATGAAATACTCACAAGCCTACGGATATCCCTCTCACAGTCCCACTTAATCTTGGAGATCTGCTCCTGGTGTAACTGATGCTCACTTCTCAGGTCTCCAGCTTTAATCTTGTCGGCCTGGATCATCTTACTCAGGGCCTCGTCCGTTTGCTTCTTGGTTGCTTTGAGCTCCGCGATTTCCTGCAGCAGCTTCAGGCGCTCAGAGTCAAAGAACTTCCTGGCCTCCTCCTTGGCCTCCAGAGTCAAAGCTGTCCTTACTTTATCGCTGCTGCCGTCCCGCAGGCCGTTCAGCGCCGTCTTGAGCCTCTGGTTCTCGGCGTCCTTGATCTTGATGGTGCGGGCCAGCTCCTGCTCGTGCTGCTTGAGCAGGTTCTCCCGCACGGCCTGCAGCTCCTTCATCTTGTCCTCATGCATCTTGGCTTTCAGCTCTGTCAGCGTCACCGTGTGCTTGTGCTGCTCCTGCTCACGGATCTTCTTCCCTTCCTGGACCTTCTCTCGCTCCAGTTTGCTCACCTGTCCAGGGAAAGGTTGGGAGAAATCACAAGCCAAGCCACACAGCAAGGGGAAGCAGCAGGAACTAACCTCTCTTTCATCAAAATCAGACAGCATTGTTTTTCCACACAGGCTTTTATAGTATTATATCTTTGATAGTAAGCATATACAGTAAAAATACAAACACATACAGTATACACAGCAGTGGATACATTCACAAACACAGGCACCTCAAGTGACTCATCCAGGTACCCATTCCCACTGAGACGCCCACCTAATCTGAGGAACTCATTACACATCCATTCCCATTGAGACCCCCACCTCCTGTAACCAGGAACATACCAAATACCTATCCCCACTAAGACACCCACCTACATCTAGGAACTCATCCACATACCCATTCCCACTGAGTCACCCACCTACACATCACATCCGTACCCTGACACCAATCCACTCACCTCAGGAACATACCAACACAGGAAGCCATACCGCCATATTCAAGGACATACTGTACTCACAGTCAGGGACACACCAACACGCCAACACCCAGGGACACATGCACATCCTCCACCTGGACGCCTCACCTTGCACTTCTCCTGGTGCAGTTCTATTTGAATGTCAGTCAGTTTAGACCTGAGATCTTCATTGGCTGCCTGTAAAGCAGCAATAAGAGCTTCGGGCTTCTCGCCCTTAGAACGGCTCTTCTTTGCCATTTCCACAAGTACTACAGTGGCCTTGAATACGCTCAGTTGGGAAAGTCCATCGCCTCAAAGAAATTCTCTAAGGTCCTCCAATGTTTCCTTTCTCTCCTCTTCCCCATTCTCTCTAGGAATTGGAAGACCTGTTACAAACACAGACACATATGGAATAAAAGAATGTTTGCCAAGTCCACTATAGCAATACACTGATTTCTTTTCTGTCATATCAGTCTTATAGCCACCTTAATTAAGAGTTTGACTGTTAGAGAAGCATGGCAATCTGCTAGCATTTTTAAGGAAAAATTGCTTGGGAAAGGAAATTATTACCTTATCACATTAAGAACCCTAATGTCAACAACAATAACAACATCATATCTGTTTAATCAAAGAGATAGTCTTCGTAAAAAACATTTTCAAGTCAAATATTCTGAATTTCAGTCATTAGAAAATGTTAAAAAAGTCAAGGGAATTTCTTCCTCCCTCATTACAGTCTTCTTTTTTATATATCCTTATGAAATATATAATATAAAAATATATTAAGTATAATAATTCAGCAGTGACCACCCCCGGTATAAAGGCACAGCAGCCTTACTAGCAACACCTTTGTGTCGTGGTTTTAAAAGGCAGTTTGCCCGGGAAAGTTTATTAGCAGAGCCGGGCCACAGTTGCTAGGCCAAAACCAGTGTACGGTATGAGGAGATGTGACACTGGAGGACTGGTTGCCTTGATTGGCGAATATGAAGACAGTGCAAGCTGGACGATGCTCTCATGGTAGGCTGCCCAACCACTGTCCAAATGTATTGAGAGGCATCTCCTCCCCTGTCCATATGAGGCACAGCAAGGAAATCACAGCTTTCTCCACAATCACAGCCCAGAAGACAGACAGGCCTGTGTCAGCTATATGATGATATTATTTACTACCAACACCATGACTTGGCCATCTTCTTGAGAAATCTGTGTAGAGGGGAACAGAGGCTGTATACTGATCAGAAAACATTCCATGGCAGAATTCCAGCCACAGCAGATTATACTATATACTGTACACTATGCTGTTCTGCAACAGCAAAATAACCTGGTCTAGTTCATCTTTGCTGTTTGATACTGCTTACTAATCACCCTCCCAATTATGGCACTACACCGACACAAGAGACAGCGATTGGTTAGACCTCATTTCATTCTTGTTAAACACAATTGTAATGATTCTAGAACTGTTCATTTTAACAGATGTATACCGTATGATATACTATACAAAAATCAGATACAGTAGATATCACCTGATATCACATGCTTTTCAAATGATGTCATTTTACAGACAGAAATAATATTCTAAACATGCTCTCAAATTACCAATATATTTTATTCTAGAAAGTGAAATTACCAAATAATTTTAAGGCAGTATAAGCCTTATTTAGCACAATTAGAATTTATGTTTTAACTCCAATCACACATTAGTGATCTACCAATACAAATATCTATTTTCAAGAATATACAGTAATGAATGTTTGCAATACATCCTCACACATTTGTGAATGATAGAGCATATGTATCATATCATTCTCCTAATGTTTTAAATTAAAAAAATCAATTTCCATGGAAATATGGTATATTCATTTACAATAATACTATTTTACACATGCTAAGACAACTGACTCATATTCTTGTCACTCTAAATATGAAGTAACACTTAGATGCAGTCTGGACTGCATTTTATAATGAACATTTAAAGTACTGATCTGGGTTGATCACACATTTACATAAATCATAAATGTCTCATGATTTCAGACCCTTGCGGGTTCCTACTTCTCAAAATTAAATGAAAGCAGAAAACCCCCCTAATCTTGCATGAAATGATGATTAAAAGAGCCAAGGAAAGATACGATCTTAATTAATACTATATAATATAACGCGATCAAGAAACCCGCAAATGAAAATGGGTTAGCTAAAGGCACTGCTCGGGGAACAGAAAAGTAATTAAAGCAGAATTTGAAACTCATGTGAAATTAACAGCAAAGACAATACACCTAGCAATTAGGCTCATTTGTTAAAAGTAAGATAAGGGAAAGTGGAGTAAAGTCACAATGACACTTACTGTATTTGCAACATGGTATGTAAATTAATCTTTGAAAACAGATAACTAGATGGAAATGTAATGCATCCTCTCTCTAAAACCCAAAGCTTGAGCTGTGTTTGGCTGTGATTCTCTCAGCTACATTTTATGTTAATAGATAGGTTCAGGATTAATATGATTTACATTCATTATACAGTATCCTGTGGTGAAAATGGGGTGGGGGTGTCAGGTAAGTATACAGATGTACAAAGATGTTAGCACAATCTTTCCAAATTGTATTGATAATACCAAAATAAGATGTTTTTTTCTTGAAACAGCCTAGTGATTCACTATGATACCGATGAAGATTCAAGATTTATATGCAGTTCATTTTAAGAGTAGTAACAAATGAATGACAAATCATAACACAAATACATGTCAAATAAAAACCTGGACTGAAAAAGAAATATTTTTTTTAAATAGTGATAATATTTTATTCTGAAAATGTAAGAGCATGATGATTTCATAATGTTTTACATTATATCAAATCAGACCACATTACAGTATTCCAGTGCATCATTTTAAACCCCAGAAGACAAAAGCAAGATTGCACATTTGAATTAAGAAAACTGTGAAAGTAAAAGAAAAATAAAAATGGGTAGCATACAAAATATTAGCCCCTAGATGATCAACAGAAATGTGATGCATTCCTGCAGACACAGTACAATCTTGCTTGACTGACCTCTTTCTTTCTGATATTTGAGACAGGCCACTTCAGTTCTGACACTTCTTCATGCTTGACTAGGGCTGCCACATCCCCCCTTGGGCTTTTAATTGTGATGTAAAAAACAGCCCTGCAGCCACTGGTTGTTACAAACAGTAAGATGAAGACCAGTCTTTTACTCTAACTGTGATGAATGGAACAAATGAGCAGAAATCGGCAAAGCAAGGCATGACTGATTTTTGATAAACAGAGTAAAAGATTAATCAGATTATGCAGACGACATAAAAGTGAATGGAAATAAAGTGTTTAATGTACTGAAGCACACATGGATTTGAGTTTAGTTACAATAACTAGTACTAGTACTGAGGATTCCACTGAAACTGCCTTTTGAAAATCAGAAGGAGTCCTGATTAAACCCAAGATGTACCGTACCATAGTAATTATCGTGATGAGTAATCTGCCAGCTTGTAACCTTTATTTCCCCAGATACTGTATATTGATGCCTTTCTCCTTACAAAGCCAGAGCTCCACTGCAGTGTACCTTGAAAGCAAGGTTGACAATACACCAGCATATCTGAAGGTCAATTGAAAATGATTTATTTTTGGATTGAACCCGAATTGGTTCCAGCTCCCCTAGTTGAAATCCACATGTCCAGGCAGCCAGGTTGCAAGGCCAGACTGTTAGATTGAAATGCTCCCTGCCTCTCTTTGTCTCAGTGTAATTGCTGAGACAGCAGAAGGTTCTTTATTAATAGAGTGGCTCACGTTTCGTGACTCCAGTCTGAATGGGTGGGAAAATGAATGCAGGCAGTGGCGGAGATGATTCCTTCTTAACTAAACAACACACCCAATTTCACACACAAGCAGAGCCAAAGTACACATGATTCTGCTACAGGCAGCCAAGGTCTTTTGGATGATGCTTAAAAAGCAGCAAAGGTGGAAAAGAAGAATTATTTGGAAAGAAAGACTTTGCAACTTTGCAGAATTTGAAACTCATGTGAAATTAACAGCAAAGAAATTAATTAAATACAAGTTCCAAGAAGATTACAAAGACAAAAAAACTTGCAATTAGTCTCATTTGTTAAAAGTAAGATAAGTGAAATTGGAGTAAGGTGACAATCACACTTATTTGCAACATGGTATGTCAATTAATCTTTGAAAACAGATATCTAGATGGAAATGTAATGCATCCTCTCTCTAAAACCCAAAGTTTGGGCTGTGTTTGGCTGCGATTCTCTCAGCTACATTTTATGTTAATAGATAGGTTCTTAGATCATGTTGTCTTATTTCAGTCAATTAGCTGATTGGTTTTGCGCTTTCTAACCCCAGAGATACAAAGAGACAAGGGCATCAAACCACAGCATTGTCATTCACTGTGCAGCTTGAATTTTGTTTAGGTCCGTTTAACATCTGGTCTGAACAATCCATCCAGCACACTCTTTCACCAATGAAACATATTTTACTTAATTTGACAATTTGCCTTCCATCTGACTTTCTTCATGACACAAATAGCGGTAACTACATTCTAAGACAGGGGGGTGTAAATCTGTCAGGACAATGCAATGTGAAACGCCTGATATCTTTACGGAAAAATCAAGAGTTCTTATAGCCTTAACACTGGTGTTAACTTGAGTAAGCATATGCAGTGAGGATAAAGAATTATACCGCCAAAATTCACTGTCATTGTTCCAAAGCACCAGTGTGTCAGAACAGTTTTAAATGGGGAAACAATATATTGCACTGACTCATATTAGCCTTTTGATAAACATGCCAAAAACTAGAGCTGTCCTGCAGTATGACTATGTAACTGTAAGGTTTCTGTCTAATCGAGAGACTTTCTGTAAGTAAGAATTCCATTGTACCAGTACCGGTTACATATGGCAATAAAGTTCAAGTTCAAGTTCAAGTTAATGGCTAGCTCTTCCTTTCTGGCTTTGGAAGACAATACACTGGCATGCAAATCTGAAACTGCACACAATCCTACCCAGTTCTCCTACTGATTTAACCCAGCTGTATTAAAAACCATAGAGATTAATTAGACAAAGATACATCAGCTGAGATGCAATGTTTAAATACACCCAAGACATTTATAGGCTTAAACTCACAATGCTGGGCTTGTACAATTATTGGCAGATCCACAATAACATTTCTTAGCATCTTATTCTATATCACTGGCTCAGTTTAAATATGATAAATCACAAGTTAATTAATGAAGCATTAATTACAGGATCCTTGGAGGTCTGAGGCATTGAACACACCATTTAATTCTGCTGCATGAACCAAAGTTGATTTATCTTGATTTAGTTTATCAATTTTAAAACAAAAGGGTGAGTAGCAACGTTCCATAGGAGAAGATTGAAAAAATACAGCAC